AATGAAATAATTTCATAAGCAATCTTTATAAATTAAAGGATATTCCTATATATGTTATCGATGGTTTTTTTCAAAGTATTTATTTTTCAGAATATTAATGCCTCTATCAATCGATATCAAATAAATGCTAAAGAATCATTGGAAAAATTATAAAGAATGCTGGACATTTGCATATCTGGAAAACATCCAATCATTCTTATAAATATATCATAAATGATATCAATTTGATTTATCAATTAGGTTATCATACTATTGCTTCTTTCAATTTATTGTTTTTTTTTAATTTGGAAAATTATTAATATTTAATTTTTTAAACAATAATGATGCACAAATGTCAATACAATTTGTGAAATTATAAATTTTTGTTTTGCAATTTAAATTCATCAAATGTTGAAGATAATTTATCGATTGTCTTAAACATGCTTCATTTCATTTCAGAAGCAATCGTTCCAAGGATTTCTAGAAATATCTTAATCATTTTGTGGAACAATTTTTCATCTTAATTCTGTAATATAAAAAGGCTTAACGATTTATGAAATTTGGCAAAGTATAAAAATAAAAGAGCCAATGTTATGAAGCTATAAGTCCAGAAAAAAAAAAAATTGAGGAAAAAGCTTGAGAAGCTATATTATTTACCGTATTATTTAAGATAAAGCCTATTTAAAACATATAATTTTCTTTTGCAGCAGAGATATTATTGATTTTTTTAAATCGGTGATATGAATGTCATTGAATGACACAATTAGATAACTTCAGATGACCGAGATTTTTCCGAATACTATTTGTAGATGCAAGATCCATGAATCAATGACCATTTTCACATTTGTTTTACCTATTTATCTGTAATTATTTCTGTTAAAAGATAAAGATATATGAAAATTGGCGATGATATTTTTGATAATTTTATTAAAACAAGAATTATTTTATGGAAATATTTCGATGTGTAATTTCATAAATAAATGTATCGAAACATTCGTTACTTTTATTTTTAGCAAATAGCATAAAATTATGATTTGTTTTGTATAACTTTCTATCATTCATTTTACTACTGAAAATTAGAAAAAAAAAGGAAAAAATTTGGTTATATGTAAATAAATGAAAAAGATTTAGCAAAAAGAAAAATATTTTTTTGCAATGTTTCTTAAATTAGCAACAGAAACTACCAGATAACTGTCAATGCTTCGGAGCATTCAATCTAAAAATAATTTATTGAACTCGTCATTTACTTGCAATAATTAATATTTACTTTTCAATTAAAGAATTTAAAGGTGAAATTAGCATGAAGCTTATGACGAAGAAAGAATATACAGGCCTAATAGCAAAGTCATTGTACCGAGCATATTCTATCCCATCTCGAAAAGTAAATAACATTAATCCAAAGAAAGAATCCAAAATTCAGAATTAATAAATTCAAAAAATCCAAGAAATTTATTTTTGCAATATTCTCGAAAGTTTTCAGAACTACTGCGATTGGAAGGCCAAGAGCGGAATCTGGAAAATAAAGATGGCTCTTGTGTCATCTTCTTGAGCAGCTCTTCTAGAATTAGTGCCAGCACTAGTTGGCGATAAAAGAGGGGAGAACAAAACAGAGGAGAAAGAGGAGGAAATGGCGGAAAAAGAAATTCACAAAGTCAGAAATTTGGAGGAAATCAAATAACATTCAAGAAATAATTCAGAATTGAAAAAATCTGATTAAATTCATGATTTCAGGAAATCCAAAAAATTCACTTTTTTAATATTAATTTTGATTTTGGTTAATTTTCATAATATTAGTTTTGATTTTTGGTTGTATTATGATAGAACCACTCATTCTTTGTTTATGTTTTTTAATTGTTTAATTCCAGAATAATCGGCTATGCATTTTAATTTTGAATTCCATTTGTTGCAATGTCTTTTTATTTTTCTTATTTTTCATATTATTTTTATAGAATGTCTTTTTTTTTGCATTTTAAGCAGTTAGGGTTAAAAAAAAACATTTAAAATGTATTTTTTTGTACTGAATTAGTAATCCAAAAATAGAGGAAAATTTCAGAATCCAAAAATTTAAGTATTTGAATGAAATTTGATAATTCAGAAAAACGAATTTTTGGAAAACTCTGCAGAAATTGTTGAATAATGTGCTAATTATCAAAAATCTAGAGAAATTCAAAAGCTATAAATCTATTTAAATACCAATTTAATGATTAATAAGAAGCTCATTTCTGCAATACCATATCATCCTAAATGCACTCCTCTGATGCTTCTGTCAGTAAATTTGTTAGAAAGGATGAGATGGAATGATCAAATTAAAACATCGATTTTTTTTAATCAGGAAAAACAATAATCCATCTGTTAAAAAATAATGCTAAGATATAAATTTACTAATGTAAAATGAGACATTTAATTATGCAAAAATTTGCTAGCAATAAAAATCTGAACGGTTATTATAGATTGAAATTTAATAAATATAAAACAACCAAATTATCAT